TTGGGCTTGCTTGAAAGTTAGTGGACCACTTTTTGCTTGAGCAAGAAGGTTTGGAATTTGCTGAGAAAGGTTGGCTTGCTCTTGTTCGATGGCAGCTTTCTGGGCTCTCACGTGGGCCAGTTGAGTTTCTAGCTGAGCTTCTTCTGCTGTAAAACTGTTAAATTGAGCAATGAGGGATTGTGATTTAGCAGATGCTTCAATTAAAGCATGCACTACTTCCCTCACTTGCTCAGCTTGATTCTCAACAGTTTTTGGCTCAATCTGAAATTGATTGATAGCCATTAAATGCTGAGGAAGCTCTGAAATGAAGGTTTGAAAGATTTGCACTTGGTCTGGATCAAAAAGTTAAGGCATCAGTGGTGCTATGGCTCCCAAACAGTCAGTCAAAATTGTAGTTTGAGAGAGAGCCAAGACATCCAGTGGTTGACCAAGTAAATTAAAAAATTGTCAATAAGTTCTTGCTCTTCATTGGATAATTTCTTCAATTTTTCTTCAACAGTCAAATTAGCAACCGTTTCTTGAACAGCAGAAATTTCCAAAAGTAAATCTTGAATGGAAGAAGAGGAGATAACTGCAGGTTGTAGTTATAAAAAAATAAAGTTAACAAATGAAGAACAATGAATATGGAAAATGATATGAGAGATTATTGCCTTTGTGACAATATGAGGTGAGGTAGAAGTACCGAAGATCTCTCTTGAGGGACTTTGAGCTAGTGTATTCTGCGCCCCCATGTCAGCAGTCACTGATGTTTGAAAAGAAATCTCAGTCTTGCATAAAAGAATGAAAGGGGATTATTTTTAAACCGTATACATATATATAAATAAGAATAAGGTGTATGGGTGAGAAAATGTTACCTGTATTGGAAATAACTGAGTAATGGAAGTGATGATAGTTGGTTGAGGAACTCTCATAACACTTGAGGTTGATTCATCATCTAAAACCTCAGTGTCAGCTCTGTCAACTTCATTTAGAAGGTTGTCATCTGGCTCAAAAACATGCTCATGGACAGGAGAACCTCTGTCGATAAGAGATGTGCGGCTGTCAGAATTAGTGGGTAAGTTAATTGGAGCTTCTCTGACATGGTCTGAATTAACTGGATCTTCTTGAGCATGTTCAGGAATTGCTGATTCTTCTAGAGAAGAGGCCACACCAGGAAAAGTGATGACTTCATTAGTTCCATATGGCACCCCTCTAAAAGGGAAGGCCATTAGGACTCTTAAAGCCACTTTTTAGGGAATTTCAGACAAAATTTGAGCCAGTTCATGAGCCAAGTTTCTTAAAATGGTTCTCCTTTGATCAATTTGTTCTTTCTCAAGGGGGTTTGGTTGAGACTCTGGCAATTCAGTTTGGCTTTCAGGAGGACTAATGTAACGCCCTCAAAATAAAACATAATACCCAACATTTTTAGACATGCATTGATACAAAAGAAATCAACCATTTCTATTCATCAGAGTAATTCTTACAACTGTATTACATGTTAACAACAAAAGCAAATGCCCTAAGAGTTTACAGCTTTCCAAGTTAACACTTGGTTACAAAAAGAGGAGTACTAACTCAATACATATTAAGCCTTTGGTTTGAATTTACATGTAATACATCAAAATAAACAAAAAGAGTCTTCAACTCTCATCATCATCCAAGCTATGTCCTTGGAGGTGGCATACTACCTGTACCTGAAAATAATGTCCCATAAAGGGTGAGCCAACGCCCAGTAGAGATATGCTAAACACAGTATGAGCAATGACTAAGATATTAGCAATTGATAAATGTTCAGTTTTCATAAACCAATTCATAACCCATTTCCATTTCACTTCGGTTTCCATTTCTTATCAGTTTCACAATTCACATCAACGGCTCAGAACCTGGCCAACCACTTGTATAAGACAATGACTCATATTAAACATTTCCTATTTTTACAATAGATAAACATACTAGTTGTATCAACATCTCAACAGATAAGCATACAAGTTGTATCCACATTTCAACAGATATGCATATTAGCTATATCAACACTTCCAATGACAAGCATATGAGCTATATCAACACATTATCTGACAAGCATATGAGCTGTATCAGTGGAGTCCATCCCCTATCTCCTCCCAAACAACATCTGGTTTAGAGGTCCATCCCCTATCTTCCCCTAAACCGTGGAGTACATCCCCTATCTCCTCCCTTCACACGCAGTATATACACATAGGTCATATACACAATCAATCAATACATAATGTTAATGTATTCTATCAACCGTCATACTCTATGACATATCCAATTGATTAGTTTTAGTTTGCCTAATCATCATGCATTGTCTACAACAATCAAAACTACCCTCCACCGGTAGCCCAAGCAATTATTTCTAAACAGATAATAAAAGCTCCAACAGATAAAATATCAATGTTTTCAAAAGTGAGCGATTTATAAATCCAACTCCATCATTTCACAATATAATGAGCCAATTTCATTATTTCCAACTCAATCCCATAAGTCTACAATTTTTCCAAATTAATTATACCAATTAATTTATACAAAAATTTATGGTTTTCTACCCCATTTCCCAATATTGACCCAATGGCCTATATATCCATAACCAACAACAATATCATCATTTTGAAACCCAAAACATATATTATGAGCCCAAAATCACAAAACCCTCTTTAACCCATTTTGAAACCCTAAGTCCCAAAATTTCCCAACTTCATTACTTTATCAAAACAACTAAAAATCTAGGTCAAAGACCATAAGAGTGAATAGGAACCCCTACCTCAAAAGATGACACCCAACAAAGAAGATGGCGAAAACGAAGATGCTCCAAACCACGAGTTTATCGGATCAAAAGATAGCCCTCGACGATCAACAACCTTTTTGTGAAGGTCAAAGGTGAGGAAACAACTCTTACTAGATCAATACCTAGAGAGAAGGCAAGGTTCTAGAGAGAGAAGCTCTCAAATGGCTTTTTAGGAAAAATAAGAGAGAGAAAGAATGAGAAAAAGTGATTTAAAACTGCCCAATAGCCAACTGATATACGACATTTCCGCTCGAGCGAAAAACACAACGCTCGAGCGTCAAGAACAAAAAACTAGGTCCGCTCGAGCGCAAAAAGGCCCGCTCGAGCGCCAAGACACAAGAATAAAGTAAATTCGCTCGAGCGCGAAAACCAGTCCACTCGAGCGTAGATTTCCCCTTCCCAGAACTTACACCCAAAGGTACTACCCGCTCGAGCGCCAGAGTACCCGCTCGAGCGCCACCGCTCAAGCGTAAAGAAACCCGCTCGAGCGTAAAAATCACACCTGTAGAAGTTTTGCAGGGACACGAAAATCTGGGAATGTGCAATATCCGCTCAAGCGCAAAAAGACCCGCTCGAGCGAAACGACCAAAAACCCGGCAACAAGATTTCAGACCAAGGTTCAACCTACCTGTTCGAAACAAGCCCAACACATCCTATAACTCAAACAAACGGAATTAAAGGATGACAACAAGATAGATACAACTACCAACGTCACGGAACCGAGTCCGGAATACAACAGAACAGTAAAGAGACAAACGGGATCGCTATAACTAACTTGTGCCTCAGCTAGTTCTTCATTCTCAGGAAGAGAAAGAGATAGGTTGGTATGAGTTTCAGGTATATCTTCATGAGAAGAAGAAGATGTGCCCAAAGAAACAAGTCTTCTCTTTTTGTATGACTTAAGATATATCTGAAAGAGGAAGGAAAATGTTAGACAAGCAAAATAGAATGTCATTATGTTTAAAATGATAACAAAATTGACAGATTGAGTAAGATTTATACCATTATGGGACGAGAAAATGAACTACTAGAAGAAGAAGCTGGTGCAACAGGAGTTTGTGAAGGAACTGGTTGTTCTTGCTTTCTTTTAGGTCTCCTTACAAGTGCTGCACCACTAGAAGAGGAAGAAGCTGGTGCAGCCGGAGATGGTGGAGGAACTGGTTCCTCTTGTCTTCTTTTAGATCTCCTCTCGCGTGTTGCACCACCTTCCGATGTTGGTTAAGAAATACCACCTTCTGGTTGTGATTGAGAAGCAAAGAATTTTTGAAGTTTTTCTTCTCTAATCTGAACCCTTTGTTCAGTCTCCACACCTGGGTTGTAAGGTGTGAAACCTTCAGCATTAGTGGTGTTTAAGGGATTACCCGTATGCTTTTTTTTCTGGATAGCGGGAGTAGGCATTTCTATAGCCAAGGAATGGCTTTGACTGGGGACTCAGCTGCATATATATAGAAAAGATATATCCTGTTATACACCCAAAAGAGAAATTTTAAACAAGAAATATAAAGTAAGAAGAAGATAGCTGTTTACCAATGCTCATGGTCACTCATTTTTTATTGTCAGGATGCACATTCCATAGGCATATTTAAGCTTCTTTATTAAAGATTACTGCACTCATAAGAAGCCACCAGTCTCTGAATCTTGTAGAGAGAAAAGGGTGTGACTTTGTAGTAGTAGAAGCTGAATTGATCAAATAGTTGTTGATTGTGGGCTAGAAGGGCCTCCATATCTGTTTGATTTTTGAATTGAATTCTAGCTCCAACTTGCTCATGAATAGTGGGATGAAAATATGGGCAAGGAACAGTTTGATAGAGGCCCATTTGCCTAGCCCATTGACAGGGGTTATAGCTTTCAAAACTACAGTTAGAAATTCTGTTAGTTGAAAGGGACCCTCTCACTAAAATGTATCTTGGAGTAAGGATTTGAGCCCAAAAATGCTTTTAGGATTAGGGCTGGAATCCCAATGGTTCCATGACAGCTTTGCTTTGTTGAAAAGTAATGTTTCAGTGTCTGCAATAGGATAGTACTGGGTAAGCTCATCAGGAATGATTAAATTGAAAGTAGGGCCCAGTTCTCCTTCTGCAGAATTGCCATGGTGTGGGATAATGCAGCTGTTGAAGATGTTTTGACGCAGTAGTTGCTGAAAATCGATTGGAAAGCGTTGTACAGCTGGTGACTCAGTTTGTTTCTTTCCTTTGACCTGACCTCGTTTAAGCGCCATTAGAGAGTGTGAGCAGAAGGGTTTTTCGAAGTCAGAGGGTTGAAGAAGCAAATAGCAGAGAAAGTTAGAGAATAGTGGAATGATGATTTGATTTCTGGCATTCAAATAGCTTGTGGTGGGCTTACTCGAAGTTCTGGGAAATTATGTTGGATTAATTTTTAGCATTTGGGCCTAATTACAAATTATGGATAAACAGCCCAAATATTTAAATGTCCAACTCTATTTCTTTTAAATAATCATTCAAGGCAAAAACTCCTTTTTGTCTTGAATGAGGGGGGCATTGTTGACACTAAAAATTGCATATTCTCTGTCGATTGTATGTAACAAATGCAGAGAATTGGTCCAGCGGATGCTAGGTTTAAAGACTACGAGTTTCCACAAATTTACAAGTGAAAAGCGAGTGAATATGAAGCCTAGAATACAAAGCAAGTGACAGAAAGGAAATAGTTAAAGAGTTAGACGTGGCAGTTGCAGTTTTCCTGTCGATTCATCTAGTAATGAAGTGGAACGTGGCCAAACATGGCCCAGGCGTCAAGCCATAAAGTTAGCATGCAAGGCATACATGATACGCGTCATGTTTCCTAGAAGGAGAAAAACTGCAACAGAGAAGTAGTTACTGGCAGTTGCAAAGATCATGGGCATTGAAGTGAAAGTAGCTGGCTATATGATGGGACACGTGGCAGCGGCGCAGCAGTGGAGTTTGAAGACCAGCAATATAAAAGCTGGGAATTCAAAGTTAGAAAAGATCTTCAAACAAATTTACAACCCTTATAGCAGTAAGAGTAACTTAACTTTGTTAGTTCTTACTTATGAGTAGTCTATCTATAGTTCAGTTTCTGTAACTAAGAATTCTCTGTCGATTGTCATGTACATTGAACTGGAAATTTAATCTTACTGATTAAATTCCAAGTTTGTTTGTTCAACAATTGATTTTCAGTTTATTCCTTCTTGTTTCTTCGCATTACAGCCTTCAAAGAAGTCCTTGAATCTGTCAAGGCATAGAACGTTCAGACCACAATTGCTTGATTTGTTGTTTGGAAAAGTTTAGCTTCTCTGTCGAATCACTCCTGTCGATTTGGCCCAGACCAGATTTTTTGCTAACACATACGCTATTAACAAGTTCTAAAGGTACCAAACACTGCCAGTTTCACATATAACTCCAGCATCTTGCTCACCATGTTCTTCACACCCAGTGCCAAAGAATGACTTTGTACATCCTGCTTGTCCTTTATCTACAATGAGTACTTTATTGTCCATATCTTTGATAGCAGCTGATGTAGACAAACAACGAAGTAGGTATACATTCAATGGCTTTGTGCCTCTCCAAAACAGTTCTTTCCCAGACCATCTTGTTTTGTCACTATTGAATCCATATTGGTCGAGCCTTTCAACTGCTCTTCACCATTGCCATCACTAATGGTCGGGTATATCAGAGCTGGTTTTATGTCATTTTGCGATAACCCGATTTGATTATCATCGGTTTTGGCATCTGACTTGTTTGTTAGCATTGGCCTAACTAATCTTCTCTTCTGTTGTTCTTCACCATCTACATGATCGCTTCCCTTAGTTTCACATTGTATCTTCAGCATTTTGCCTTCGTCATTAACAGTCAAAAGTGGAATGCATTCTCCAATTTGTTTCCCGGTCCATGTATCCACCAGATCCTCTTCAACTTGAAATGCATCTTCATTCATCTGCACTTGGATAGTCATCTGTAAGTTCTCACTATCATGATTTCTGATAGCTACTTTGTGTCTCTCTCTCTTATTCCCCTAAAATATTTCTACATTTCTACCCACTAAATTATCTATCTGGATATCAAATTTCTTTTCTTCCACAGCATTGTCAGAAGCAAAATTTAAGCGAGAAAACACACTAGCTCTCTTTTTTAGATGGCTATCTCGTTTTCCACGTGAAATACTTTTAGTTTTCCTTGTCATCCTTTTCCAATTTTCATGAGACCACTGCAACTTCTCCGTAATTTCATGCACTGATTTAGTCACTTGAGAGTCATCTTCATCATCTTCTACAGTAGCTTTTGACACCAAATTCAAACGAGAAAACACAATTGTTCTTTCGTCTTGAGTATCAGAATACAGGCCCTTCACCCTTGGGTATTTTTCGTCACATTGATCCCTCTCTGGACTAAATTCAGAAGATGGCTGATTTGAATCCTTCAGTCCAAAAGCATGGGAAATATACATGCTTTAGAGGAGGACTGATCTATATAATCATGACAAGAGGCAGATTCTATATAATCATGACAAGAGACAGATTCTATTTGGTTATCTTTCAAAACCCTAGCCTCTGAGAAAGCATTCTCATTCTCTGTTGCATCAAGATGTTTAAGGGAAGACAGTGGTATGTAATCGCCAAGGCCCAATGAAGCATTATAAGAAGAGATATCTATGTGCTCTGACTCTTTTTGCAATGGGACTGATTGACTTAAAGAAAAAGATGAGCTTATTGAAATACCGGTAGAGTGAGTAGCATATTCATGAAATGAGGTAAACTCGTTGCTTGTTCCAGACACGAACAGAGCCTGGAAAAAAGATATCCCTGCATTCAGTGAGTGGGGTACATCCACTGAATTCCTAGCTTGCCTTTCAGCCATGAAGTCGTCTCTCTCCAGCTCAAGTTTGCCAGAATCAGCTAAGGGATTTACTATATCCAACAATTTGACTTTCTTCTTTTTCAGAGATCTTTGTACTCTGACTTTTCTAGAATCAAACAAGTATAAGAGCCTTTGAACCTGCATTCTCAATCAATATAAAGTGAGTGTTGGAAACAAGTCCAGTTTAGGGCTTGTTGCAAGGTTCAATTCTAACTTGAACATATTTTAGTTCATTTCCTTTCACAATCAGTCAATCACAACATCCCACAACAAGCTTCAGTAGGCCACACCAACTATCCCATTAAGAAGTATGTTTGTTTGCTTTACTTCTCTAAGGAATAAGAGGGCTTGTTAGTACCCTGCTATGGCATTCTATGATTGAGCTGAATTGAACTTAAACTGCATATTGGACAGAATATGAATCCTTTGCCAAACAATGAGCCTAGATTCTACAAGAAATGTGAATAAGAGCAAACCTGATCGTTAGACAGACCAAAGTTGAACTTTGTCGTTGCATAGTAATTATCTTGAATAGCATCACAAAAATCATGTTCATAAAGAGGACGACAAATCCAAAGCACACTAAATTGAACCTGAACAAGACAAAATTGAACGACAGGCATAAAATTGGTCTAAAAAGGAAAGAGGTTACATCTCAAAGAAACAATATCTGGTGATTCACATATGCTCAAGGGAAAAAAAAAATTATAATTAGGCAGCAATAAATTTAAGGCTAGTGAAAGCTATGAAAGAATGAAGCTAGGAAGAAAACAACAAAAAATCATACAATCGTCAATTGATACCTGTGCAGGGAATGATTTTCCTGTTGAACGATATGCATTGGGTACAATATTCATTGAACCATCTGTTACAGCTTGAAATACACCATATAGTTTTCTTTGCTTAAATTCGAAAAGAAATAAAACCATTCCAGCTTTGACTTCTTTCACAAAGTTAAGAAAAGCATGTGGAAGACCAAATAGTTTTCTCTTAAAACACTCTTCTATTGTAGTTCTGTTTGACATGAAGATCGCACCAACGTCTGGAGCCTTTCTAGAAGCATTCTTCATCCGAACATCATTGGAAGCCATAGATGTCCTGTTACAAGTCATCAATTTAATGAAAAAGTGTCAGCAATGAACAATCCCAACAATTAACATACCGGAAACAAGCATACAAATATAATCAAAGCATTGCACAAAATAACAGACTAGTCATTAAAAAGTATAATTTTCTACTTTGAGAAATGAGCATGATAACCAAAAAGACAAAAAAGAACACTAATTCCTTGAGTTTTGCAAATGATGCAATAGAAGATAAAATAGATGTAATTAGGCTAGCACATAAAATAAAACTAGACAGCATGCCAACAACTATAATGATATACAATGTTAGATTGGTCTCACCAAGAAAACACATTGAACTCACTGGTATCCATCACGACTTTGCAGGCCATACCTGTTTTAGTATAGAATAATGTAGCCCAACTACTAGAGACAACATATGTAGTTATTAAGTACTCTTCATGTCAAAGCAACTAGTAACCAGAGGAAGTGTCAAATTCAATCCAGAAGATACAATCCGTAAGTACTTTGAGCATAACAGTAGATAATGCAGTTCATATATCTCATGTCCAAAACTATGCCCAGTCCACAAAAGGATAAACATTGGTAAAGTTGAATGCTCATGTTCTTCAAACCCCATCCAATAAATTTTGAAACGGGTGTCCAAATGATTAAAAACTTCGCATGAATTTTCCCAGCAATTAAGAAAAAGCAGCTCAAAAAGAGGTAAATTTCATGCTTTTGAAGTTCATATATATAACACAAACACATATAAGAGCACTGGAACTTAACCAAGGAACTTCATTTCAATTGAAACCTCAATCAATTGTTAGATGGAATCAACTTGAGAAATCTAATGCATCAATGAATTATGGAAGCTCCACTAGCATTGCAATGGATGCTCCGTTATAATTACAAACGCTCATAGTAGACATAGGGATTTAAGAGATTTTAAATATGAAGGCAGAATATGAAAATTTAAATACAATAAAAGGTTACTAAGATGCATTAGATAGTACAAGTAGAGTTAATATGCATTCAAGCTGAGAGAGAGAGAGAGAGAGAGAGAGAGAGAGAGAGAGAGAGAGGCCAATATTTAATAAGAAATATAAGAGTTTCACTCAAGTGAACTAAATAAGCCAATAATAAGCTTGGGGGCTTGGCCAATAATTTAAGAACAAACTCATTATTGTCATCGACAGAATTCCCATTAGACCTGCATTGTAGTACTATACACTGACCATTGACATAGTAAAAAATGTAGAAATAGCATCCAATAAAGCTACAAACAGCAACTAGTTTACTAACCACTTGTGTGCCACTGCCACCTCAACTCCTTGGGCCTCACCCATTTGAGCGCCCTCTCTTTCATTTACAAAACCCATCCCCCTCACATCTCTTGGTTTCCTCTCTCACACAAAACAGAACCCAACTCTCAAAGCATAACAATATTAGAACTCTCGATATGAAAGTCTCTCGTTTGTGGAAAAAAATTTTGCTCCGTGTTTCATGGCCTTTGGCCTTGACTTTGAGGTTTAATAATAGTAAGGCCATATAGATGTCCTACAAAACAAAAAAAAAAAGAAATCTACCACGGAAGAAGTGAGTTTTTAAAGACAAACCAGGGTTTTCAGACGTTGGAGGACACCACAAATAATCATAGTTGTCAAATCGGGATTCGTATCGCGAATCGAAATGGTCTTATACTAAATCGCGAATCGAATCGAATCTTGAATCGTAAAGATTTGGTCACTTTTTCTAAATTACTTAAAAGCATATATCTACACATTTAGATGTTAAATATATGTTATAAATATAAAATATTTAGACTTAAATCAATAAAAATGTTATTTTGAATAATAATCAGGTAGTTTAATAGGTAAGAATTTAATAAAGGTTCTTATGTAAGATCAGCATATTACCTTTTTTCTTTTTTAGATATTTCTTATCAACCATTCTTAATAAAGATGTAATATCACCATCTTGCCTTTTTTCTTTTTTAGATATTTCTTATCAGCCATTCTTAATAAAGATAGTAACCAAATAGACAAACTATCAATTTTCAAAGTAACAATAATTAACAACAATGTTGATATTTGGACAATAAACATATATACTTTTCTAAGTAACAGTGAGCAAATAATAAGAAGGAATTATTTAGAGTCTTTTATTTTAAAGCCTAAAATATTTTAAAAAGTATAACTGACCTCACACGTGTAATATTCAATTTAATAAAATAGTAATAGATAATTCATAGTGTAACTTTAACCTTAAACATCTTTAGAAGATATATTATGATTTTTTAAAAGGAAAAAAAATGAGAAAAAAGGTTAAAAATATGTTGGGTCTGATTAAACTCATTATTGTCATCGACAGAATTCCCATTAGACCTGCATTGTAGTACTATACACTGACCATTGACATAGTAAAAAATGTAGAAATAGCATCCAATAAAGCTACAAACAGCAACTAGTTTACTAACCACTTGTGTGCCACTGCCACCTCAACTCTTTGGGCCTCACCCATTTGAGCCCCCTCTCTTTCATTTACAAAACCCATCCCCTCACATCTCTTGGTTTCCTCTCTCACACAAAACAGAACCCAACTCTTAAAGCATAACAATATTAGAACTCTCGATATGAAAGTCTCTCGTTTGTGGAAAAAAATTTTGCTCCGTGTTTCATGGCCTCTGGCCTTGATTTTGAGGTTTAATAATAGTAATGCCATATAGATGTCCTACAAAACAAAAAAAAAAAGAAATCAACACAGAAGAAGTGAGTTTTTAAAGACAAACCAGGGTTTTCAGACGTTGGAGGACACCACAAATAAAATAATTGGAGGGTTTTGAAGTGCAGCAAGAGAGAGATATGGTTTTGTTTTGGTTTTGAGAGTGGGGTTTTGTTTTGTGACTTTTGCATGAGGAGGGAAAGAAAAAGACATGAGGGGAACTTGAGAAGAGTTCTATAGGAAGGAGAGGAAAGAGGTAAAATAAATTCATGGGGGCCATAGTGTTGAGGTGGCAGAGCCACATAAGGAGTCCGTAAACTAAGTAGTAAACTAATCAATTTATTGAATAACATCACAACCAAACATTGGGAGGCAAGGGATTTTATGGGTTTTTTTAAAGAGCATGTCACATAGCTAAATTATTGGGAATGTGGCTAATAAGCTATGCATGTAACTAAATTCATATACAAAGTATGGGATGGGGGAGGGAAAGAGAAGAGACAGCATCTCTCTTAAATCAAACTCCTCTATTCTATCCAGGGCCATATATTTCTAATCATTATGTAGGATTTGAATGCAACAAGAAAATTTTGGGCATTCTTGGCTTACCTTATATGCTACAACGAATTTTGCTCATCAAACATCACCCCATTATGAAATCACCAAGCCACTTATTCTTACAGTCACAATGCATGGTTTTTGTAACTGATGACAAAAAAATCTTGGCTGCATTTCTCAGTTTTCCCTCCATAGCTGCTACAATACAACTAGCTGCTTTTCATACACCCACCATCATGTATGTTGTATATTATATAGGTGTATACATGCATACATTAATGCTTCAAACTTATAATAATTTTTTATTCTTACCATTACTGACCCATCTCAACTCTATAGAATTATAACTTAAAAAATGAAGCACAAAACAGAAATTTAGCAATATTCACACACATATACATCATCAATTCAAACATAGGTAGAAACACACAGAGAGAGAGAGAGAGCATTTTAAACATTTAAGAAATTGAAATCTGTAAGTTAGGAATGTCATCTCTAATGTGTTAAAAGCTTATTTTTCGCTATACTTGTCTGAATATTCCCTGAGCAAAGGCAGTGGCGATCTCACAGTAAACCCTATTGAGAACAAATAAAAACAATGAAATAAATTAATTAGGTAACTATAAAAAATTTTAAAAAAAAAACACACACACACATTCAATTACAGACTCAATCAAGTACATCTACCATCAGTACACCATCTTTTGAAGAGCTAGAAAAACCATAACCATTGTTTCAATTGTTTTTGGATATCACAGAGACAGAGACAGAGAGAGGGTGAACCATGGTGGTTCGGTGGAGGCGTGAAGAAGAGACTGACCGATCTGCCAGGGCAGGGCTGGAGGTACAGTCGCCTGTTGGAGATATGAACAGAAAAATGATGGCTCATATTTTGTCGCATTCGTCTTTCTAAATATATTTAGGGATTTTTATTAATAAGTCCAATTTAGAAGTGTTTTAATTTAAGAAGTCTATGAACAAATTTTTTAACTCATTTAGTCTCATATATGTATAGTTTTATTCCATAAAGTCCATTTTCTTGATTTACACTATTTTCTTGGACACATATGCCCTTATATTCAATTTTGATACCCTTATAAATATTTTTTGAACGATTAGCAATTTAATGATATGACCATTCATATTTTAAAATTCACATTGGTAGGAATGTAAAATTGGCCCGTGGGCAGCCCGAAACCCGCCCAGGAGCCGGGGCAGGCCCCGCCCGTTGACAATGTGAATATTCACATTGACATGTTAACATTCACATTAATAGGAGTGTAAAATTGGCCCGTGTCCCGTAGCGGCGCGAAACCCGCTCGCGGCCCACGGGCGACCCGGGACGGGCCCAGTCCGACCCATTGACAATGTGAATATTCACATTGACATGTTAACTTTTACATTGATAAAAGTATAAAATTGGCCCGCGGCCCATGGGCGGCCAAAAGCCCACCCGCGGCATGGGGAGGGCCCGGTCCGATCCGTTGACAAAGTGAATATTCACATTGACATGTTAACATTCACATTGATAGGAGTGTAAAATTAGCCCGCGCCTCGTGATAGCTCGAAACCCGCCCACGGTCCGTGGGCGGCCCGGGGCGGGCTCGGCCCGGCCGGTTGACAATGTGAATATTCACATTGATATGTTAACATTCACATTGATAAGAGTATAAAATTGGTCTGCAGCCCAAGGCGGGCCCGACCCGGCCCGTTGACAATGTGAATATTCACATTGACATGTTAACATTTACATTAATAAAATTAATTAGGTAACTATAAAAAAATTAAAAAAAAAACACACACACACACATTCAATTACAGACTCAATCAAGTACATCTACCATCAGTACACCATCTTTTGAAGAGCTAGAAAAACCATAACCATTGTTTCAATTGTTTTTGGATATCACAGAGACAGAGAGAGAGAGAGGGTGAACCATGGTGGTCCGGTGGAGGCGTGAAGAAGAGACTGACCGATCTGCCAGGGCAGGGCTGGAGGTACAGTCGCCGGTTGGAGATATGAACAGAAAAATGATGGCTCATATTTTGTCGCATTCGTCTTTCTAAATATATTTACTTACATAAATAAATAAATAGAGCAAAATTACATTTCAGAATTTTTTTATACAATTTTGTAACAAAGTAATGTGATAATGTGTCATTTGTATAATTAAAACGGTGGTATTACATATATTAATTAGTTTATTAATTAGTGTATTAACATTAGTTATGATATTATTATTGATTCTACTCATTAATCACATTACAAATACTAAACGGTAGTGCTATATGTACCAATTAGTGTACTAATTAGAATTATGATATTATTATTGACCACATTTATTATATAAATTACAAATATTTAAAATCATATAAATGATACCACATCATCATTAATATACTGGTTAGTACACTAATGGTTGCATATAATATTATTCTACTAAATTATGTCTTCATAAATTCTTTATTGGAAAATGTTTGGAACCCTTTTTGGGGATAACCCCTACACCTCCAAAGTGATTCTGGCCCTTCATGTATATGCGGGGCTCACTCATGTATGTGTAGGATCCACATCATAAATAATTTAGATTTGTGAGGCCTTGGGGGGTAAAAGTCTCAATCATTACTCTTCTTTATTTGGGCTAAATAATTCAACAAGTAATTATATGTTAAGATTTTAAAAAAAATTTATGTTTTATATCACCACTAGTAAATAAATAAAATAAATATTTGAGACTCTATCAATTTGTTGTTTAAATAAGTTAAACATATTTTAAAATTTATTGAATTTATTTAATTAAACTTAAACAATTAGGTATTGGCTCAACTCAATTTGTTTGTAGGTTTAGACCATCTCCAATGGTTCATCAAATTCATAACCAAATTTGAATTTGCTGAAAAATTACAACTTTTTTTTGTCTTCAACAGTTTCATCAAACGATATCAAACTGAGAATGACCCAAATTTTTCACTAGATTGAGGATGTTTTGTGCCTTTTAGCAAAACACTGTTCCTTATTATTGTATTTTTACTACCGGATGACTCACTGGATATCCTTTCGGATGACCACCTCAAGCAAGAATTTGTGCAGATTTTACATTGGCAAGTCGACCCACTGGTCGATCCCCCGAATGACCCTTCAAGCTTGAAAATGTGAGGAAAAGTATGAAGAGCAGATTATTTTGCTGATGCATTCAACTACAAATCTGAAAATAATCAACTTTTTTTTATTCAATATAGATCTGAATTGAAGGTTTGAATCATTGGTTTCTTTTTCTTGATTCTTTTAAGTAAATGCTTTCTGGGTTTTGGTTTTGATAGTTGTTGATAATGGGGGAAAAGCGGAGTAGTGATGATTTTGGAAAAAGTTCAGAACTTGGACGCAAGCGAGTGAAAATGCGAGATCTTGACTCAGTGTTACGCCTTGAAGACAAGTCCTCTTTGTAAAGGAATTATTATTACTTTGGGATTTTACATTTCCCTGAGGAGCCCCTCTCTCTCTCTCTCTCTCTCTCTACCATGGCGTCCACTGAGTGCTTCACGAACAAGAACACTTTTTCAGAAAGTTCAACGCCAAGTCCGACGACAAGGTCTCTCTCTCTCTGTGTCTCTGGGCATTTCCAAGTCCAACATGGGCTTCTATTACGTATGGGATCTTCTTGTGCATCGATTATTTGGCCTCTCATTGCAGTCTAGATGTTCATGTCAGCTTAGAAAAACAAAATTTGTTTTCTTTTTTCCAGTCGACCAGCGGGTCGTCCCACCGGACGTCCAGTGTGTTTTGATGAAAACCGTTGGAGCGACTAATATCAGATTGAGGGATTGATATTTTTTTTACCTTAGATTTAATGAAATTTTTTGTGAAACGTTGGAGATGCTTTTAGGATTAACGAATTGATGCCCACCCTTAACTATTTGAATAATCACTCAACTTTTTTTTTTGCCAATCTAAAAAAATAAAAATTAAAAAAAAAAGTTCGTTACTTTACATTTGAGAAGGTTTGATTTTTAAATTATTTATTTATTTATTATAAGTCAATCTAGTTAGTAAATAAATATAAGGTTTAATTTTTTTAAATAGAAAAAATATAATCTAGTCGAATTTATTTTTTTTATGAATAATTCATATAGTAGAGATTAGTTTTAAGAAATTTAATTTGTTAAAAAATATTTTAATCAAGGTAGTAGAGATTTAATTTTTTTGATTATTATTATAAGTCAATATAGTAAACAAAAAATTGCATTTAAGTGTTTTCGAAGACTTCTTGGAAGAGGATTTGGATCATTGGTCTTCAAATTTATTTTGTGTCTTTACCCAAAAACAAAATCCTCATTGTAATCATTTTTTAATAGCTTAAATTTCACTCGATATTCACTATTTTTATTCAAGTTTTTAATTGATTCTTTCGTCATTTTAATTTTGACAACTTACTTTCTAAAATAGCTATTGAGTTTCAAACCAAAACACAGATGGCATGAGACCATATTATTAAAGCAACATTTCTATGAAATGACGCTCACGTTTAAATTCTTTGGGTGATGCTATGTCCCCGAAAATTCCCCCCTAACCCCCCGAATTTTCAAACCAAGGCAAAAAAAAAAAAAAAAAAATCCCCAAAACGGCGTCGTTTTGGGGATTAGGAGGATTAGGGGGGATTTTTTTAAAGCTCCAAATCATTTTCCAAATTCTTTATTTATATATAATTTTTCTATGTAGATTATAAGAATGTGAGAAAAAATTATTAATTTGACATAATGAATGTCTTGCGACATCCTCGTCCAAAACTAGGAAACATGGTCCATCTAATGAAATCCAATCTCCAAAACAATTATTGGTTTTGGTATTTTTAATGTTGGTTGTTTTCTTACCAACAAAATCTACATTTTATAATTGCAAGGATGGAAGGCAAAGTTACTTTCCCAAGCGAGCCGGGAGGTCCTAATTAAATTGGTCGCCCAAGCAATGCCCATTTATGAAATTGCAAGATTTTTTTGTTTCCCAACAAGTTATGTGATAAATTGAGCTCCTACATTGCAAATTTCTGGTGGAAAGGTGATCCGGAGGGGAGAGGTATTCATTGGGTCAGTTGGAGTAAATTGTGCGTGACAAAAAGAAATGGTGGTTTGGGCTTTCAAGACTTTCGGACTTTCAATAGAGCTCTGCTTGCTCATCAAGGTTGGAGATTAATTAAATTCTTAGACTCCTTATTTGCTAAAATTATAAAAGGAATGTACTGCCTCAACTCAGATTTTTTTCATGCAGTGAGAGGGTCACGACCTTTATGGGCTTGGCTTAGCTTTCTTCAGGGGAGAGAAATTCTTGAAGGAGGTTTACAGCGGCAAGTTTTGAATGGTAAGTCTATCAATTTCTGGGATGATCAATGGATACCCTATAATTCGGGTTTTCGAGTTCATTCAGTGAGAAATAATCAGTGCAAAGGTGAATGAGGTGATTGATTCTTCTTGCAAGCTATGAGATGATACGAAGCTTAGAAGCCTAGTGTCTGGAGCAGATTGCGATGCTATACTCTCACTTCCAGTTTCAGTAGAGGATAAAGATGATATTCTTCTGTGGCATCATGACTCAAAGGATTGTTATACGGTTAAGTCGGGGTATCAAGAAGCAGTGAAACAAGCTCACTTGGGTCAAATTTGCCATCTTCTTCTTTAGGTTGGCCTGAGAAACATTGGTGGTTTCTATGTGTTGGAAAATAATGATTTTTCGGTAATTTTATTTCGAAATTAAAGTGGGACCGGTTGAGGTGAGTCCAAGTGATTTTGTATTCTCTTAAGTGAGAAGATTGCAATACAAAAATAATAAACCGAAGCCATTGAGTCGTGAATAAGAATTATCTCATAAAGTGGGCATCAA